CTCGATCGAACGTCCGAGTATCGAATACTAAAATCGGTACTCGGTTACTCGGATGTATATTTCTGAATATTTCTAAGCTTATTTTTTAATGCATTAAACAATCTGTTTAAAAACGTAAAATGTTCATTGCACTTGTACATACAGTAATTAGGGTTTCCTACGCCTCTAAATGACCGTTGTCGGCTGTGGCAGTGTTTATACAGTAATTATCGTGACCAAGCACCCGCTACCTGGCTTTTCTCACCTTCGGCTGTCTTCTACACTATTTTTTGGTTTGCTTTAATTATTTGTTTTCCCTGAACATTGTTAAGGTCTGTTATGTTTAAATAAATTAAATATTTTGTCAATTCTCCAAGAAACCGTAAATTATCGGGAAAAAAGACAGATGATATTACACGTGCGATTGTTGATATGCACCAAACTACAAAATGCCGTCCCGTAATACTATAAAATCTAGGATCAAAAAAGTGTACAAAAATCGTAAGTCCGCTCTGTTAAGAGAACTTGGTCAAGTTCAAGTTGATACTGTACGTAGCTCTGACGACTGATACCTGGACATCAAACGCAACAAAGAGTTACATTACAGTTACGGGGCAGATTATTATTTTTAAAACAAAAACACTAAGAACTACTTATGACTTTATTTCTTGTGTTAACTTTTTCTGATAAATAAATTGAACTTAAAAATATGTTTTATTAAATTTATTCGGGCACGAAGTGCTCATCATTGTTACAACAGAAATACATTTACGGGTAAACCTCCTTTCAGAGCACGTGGTTTTATTTCTACAAGAGTTAACCATGTTTTACAGTCATCAATTTACTTGTTCATATTTAGCTACACTTTTTCTGAGTACCCGGGTATTCGATCGGAAAACCGTCTGAGTAACCGAGTATTAAAAATTGACCGATTTGACACCCCTAATAATTATCATATAATCTCGTTAAAAGCACCACTCGCAAAATAAAACTACTTGCTTTTTTTTTAATGGTGCTGAATTCAATGTAAAATCTCTTCATAAATTGTCCTCTCATAAATTAAAGCTCTAGCGATTTCACATTAAAGTGCCATTTCATAATAATAAGTACTCAGGAAAAATAAGGAATCTACAGTAAGTACTAACAGTGAAATCCCCAGATCAATCTGCCTCACCCCATGGAGCTCATAAAATATGACAATATAAATCTTTATAGGCTCAAAATACTTTTCTGTTAAAGTGTTTAGAACTTGTTGCTGTAAGTAGTCCCTATATATTGCACTGATGCAAAATGCTGATAATGTAGACCCAGCTGCAGACACCAAATATCTGTCCCTATAGAACTTATAACTGTAAGTAGTTTTCATATTCTGCCCCCAGACTCACTATGTCTATCCCACGGTCCCAATAGTATTCATTGCTGTATACTGTAAACCAACTTTTATTCGCTGTGACTTTATTTCGCGATTTACCGGGAGTACAGTAGTTCGCGAAGATTAATTTTCGTGATCAAGCCTTTTTTGGAACTGTTTTAATAGAAAAAGAGTCTTTAAGGACCCGTTCGCGGCGAGAAAAATTTGCGATGACGAGGCTTTCGCAAACTTCGCAAAAATTTCTTGAACGCGAATAAAAGTTGGTTTCCAGTATACAGAAAATATTTTACAATATGGCATTTTATGGCAAATCAAGTGTATTGTAGAATCATTTCAAATCATGAGGAGTCAATTTTTGTTGGTTCATGGGGACATAATTTCATCCTGTCACTGGGTAACTCATATATTTAGAAGATTTAGTGAATGAATATATTCACTAAAGAATTTTAGGGATGTAAATTCATGGATAAGAACCATTAAAGGCAAAGAATGGAAATGATTCTCTTTTCTCATGGATATTTAAATATATAAAAAAAATCTACAGTTCATAAGTATGTATATATTTAATAATTGATATTAGAAAGCGGTGTCCTACAAACATACTTAAATTTACATCATTAGAAATTGAGATATTGATAAATCAAATTATATTTATGCTTCTTATCTTGTGCATTTCAGCTTATAAAATCTTGCTTACTTTGTCGTTCATTTTCAGGTAGTACTCGGAACTGTGATATCCTACTTTGTTGATATTAACAACAATTACGGTGTTAAAATAGTCGGAGATATTCCCACAGGGTAGGTGATCATAGCATGCATTGTTGCAAATTACTGTATACAGGGTTATTTTCGCCCTATCTTTTTTTGGCCTTTCATATTTGGAAACAAGTTTGCCCCATTTTAAATACGCCCAGAAAGATTTTTTTAAGATGTTATACTGTTAACTTTGAATTCGTCCTGTTTTTAATTCACCCACTTCCAACGAGGATGAAAGGGGCGAAAATTAAATGGGGGCGAAAATTTCCTTGTATACAGTATTCTATTTTATTCATATTTTTGAAAACAAAAAAATATTAACATTCAATTTGACTTTTTCTCGCTTTGGTGAGCTATGAGAAATTAGATTGATACTTCTTATGACCAGGATATATATTTGTGTTTGAAAACTCCTGTTGATTTTTGAGAAGTTTTTACATGATCTTTTAATTAATCTTTCTGACTTTAATCTTCAGACTTCCTGTACCCACTGTGCCAAACTTTTCCCTGATGCCTGATGTGATTTCTGATGCCTTTGCTTTAGCTGTTGTTGTGTTTGCTATCTCTGTATCTATGGGCAAAATACTGGCCAGGAGGCATGGATATGAAATTGAGTCTAACCAGGTATTTATAATCAGTGTCTATATATCACACACTTATAATGTTTAGTGTAGAATATTGTCTCCTCCATACACAGATGCATTGGTCACAATAGAAATAAATACAGGTTTTTTGAAACACTGCATTTTAAAAAATGGTTAGTAGAACTCTGTCTGTTTGACTTGTATTTTTAAAAAAAGACACAAAAACAAAAAAATGTTTACATCAGTTGTCTAGATCTGGATGTGAGTTTTATTGACAACTTCTCTATATGAGATACATATTGAGATGTAATGTACAAACCTTCTTCATTACAGGAGTTGATTGCTTATGCTATAACTAATGTTGACAGTTTTTTTTTTCATTACAAGAGTTGATTGCCTATGCTATAACTAATGTTGACAACTCTTTTTTCATTACAGGAGTTGATTGCCTATGCTATAACTAATGTTGACAACTCTTTTTTCATTACAGGAGTTGATTGCCTATGCTATAACTAATGTTGACAACTCTTTTTTCATTACAGGAGTTGATTGCCTATGCTATAACTAATGTTGGCAGCTCTTTCTTCTCTTCATTCGCATCTTCTGCTTCCCTGTCAAGGAGTCTCATTCAGGAACATGTAGGAGGAGTCACTCAGGTCAGTTGCACAGGGTCAGAGGTCAAAGGTCACAGTGTACAAAATGTATAACTATCTACAATATCAATAATTTTATGCTCAACATTTCCTTAAAGGAGAGTATCAGATGCACAAACGTACATACTGATTTTAACTTACTATCTATGTACAAAGGTCAACTCTCTTTATTCCCCCTCTGATATACAGTATCTGAATCGTGGTGTATTAGAGATGGACGTGATTGATTGATAGCGACTTACTCACCCAGTAGAGTTATGTTTTTGTTTTCTCCTTCCACAGTTGACTGGACTGGTATCCAGTGCTCTGCTCCTCCTTGTACTTCTTGTATTAGGGCCATACTTTAAAACTTTACCCAAGGTAAGCTCTTAAAATCTTGAAATCTTGTGAAACACATTTTAGCACAAACAAATCCACGAAGGTTTCTTTACACAGAAATTGTAGCACAAAGCAATGTCCCCCAAATATTCAGCCTTTATACTGTGTGATTAAATATCACTTTGATATCTTTCACTTTGAGACAGACTTTTACTTTTATTCCATTATTAAATCAGAGTATTTCACTAAAATGAAAATGTAATAAATTTGCTTTTTTCTTACCTTTCAGTGTGTTCTGGCAGCAATCATTATTGTAGCTCTAAAGGGGATGTTCCGTCAGTTCCTGGAACTTCCTAAACTCTGGAAATTGTCCAAAATTGATTTTGTAAGTTAAAAGTTCTACTTGCAGTCAAGCCTTGTTGATGTGGATGTTTCAGCTATTGTGTGAATTTCATGGGAACCAATTATACTCGTATACATGCAGTCTTCACAACAGTTCTTTTTCAGAATATGCCCTTCGGGCATGTATACCGATCATCTCAGCCCAGCCCATTGAAATTTGTACATGCCCTACTCAAAATTCATTCATATAGCAGATCTATATGATTGTACAAAAAAAAAAATAAGGTTTTTATATTAACTTATATTAATAAGTACAGTGTTTCTGTTTTTAAATTCTCTCGATCTTAATAAGTTGTTTTCATAGTTTTAAATCAGCCATGGCCTATCTGTCTGCCATTTTTGTATGCATTTCTGACTTTTTGTTGACAACTTTTGACTCGAATGCAGAATGCAGGTCTTTTGTTGGCTGATTAGCTGAACTGATTACATAGCAAGTTTACACGAATAACTAGAGTATGACAGAAGAATTGTCAAGTAAACTTTGTGAATCAAAAGAAAATTTATACATGCCCAAATTACACATGCCCTTTGGGCATGTAATTTTAGAATTTCACATGCCCGCTGGAAAATTTACCGGGTCCCGGGCATGGGGCACCCAGGTTATTTCGAAGACTGTACATGTATCTATGTATACTAGATGAGTTTAAATTATTTAGATAATTACAATAATCTTGAAGATTTGCATGGGAACTAAACTGTCCATTTTAAATAGGCTCAACTGATATTTCTTGTTGTTATTTTTTCTGCTACATTGATTTTTATGTGAACAGACTATTGATATCAATCAGATTTATAAAAAATACTCTATCTCTGATTACTATGAAACTCCATATCTGTTTACAATATAATCTGTATCTCATTACAGCTGATCTGGATTCTGTCTTTCCTGGCCACTGTGATATTAGATGTGGATCTAGGACTGTTATTTGGAGTTATTGTAGCTATATTTACCGTTGTATATAGGGTACAGAGGTATGTAGTATTATATGAATAAACCCACAGTTTCTTTACTTGTTTGTTTTCTACTTCTCATAAGTATTAAATTTAAAAATTTTAATTGTTTGAATTTCAAATTTTCTTCTAATTAATGGGAGATTTATCAATGGCCCTTAAATATTTCTCGAAAAGTTTTCAATCTGGAGACTTGTCTGAATAGATTTGAAAAGTAATTGACTGTATTCTTTTTCTTTCATTGTGTATAAATGATACTTATAAATTTTCAGACCTTATGTGTGTGTGATGGGGCAGATACCAGGGACTGACATCTACAGAGATATTTCTGTTTACAAAGAGGTAAACAAGACTTAATTAAATCTAAATTACCATGATCTTCTTGGAAGACTTCTTTTCAATTTTTTTTTGTACAGAAAATGTATTTCTATTTTTCAAAAAAACATTTTTTTTATTCTTTTATCTACTTGTGTTTAAGTTTTATTTATAATAAAGCTTTTGTTGGAAATTTTTTTTACTAAAAAGACTTTCAATTCAAAATTCCATTTTCAAAAAAAAAAAAAAAAACAAAACATTTTTTGCAGGCACAAGAAATTCCTCGTGTAAAGATTTTCCGGTTTGAAAATGCCTTATTTTTTGTGAGTGTGGAACATTTTAAAAACAGTCTTTTTAAGTTCACATGTAACCCACGGCATGTGAAACAGGACATGGAAACAGCTAGGCATCGCATACAGAAAGAGAAAGACAAGTTTGACAAAATAACATTCAAGGTACATGTAATGAACTCTTCATTTGTTAGCATATCAACTAATCTAAATTACTTAAAAAATACATGTAACCATGTAGTTTTGTTGTTATTAGTTAATGTAAACTTAAATTTAAAGGAATGCAAATAAAAACTAGGAGACTTATTGTTCACAGAACAATAAGAGGTCTTTCCACCTTCTTTGAATTTCAAATTTGTTTTATATCTGACTTCTTAAAATTAAATTCCATTAAAAAAAACCCCAAAAATGTCTTAAAGCATAGAAAAAATGAAAATTAAAAAAAAAAATGGAATGACCTTGACCTTTGACCTTGAGAATATATTTAAGGTCAAAGGTCAAGGGTAACAATGCAATTGACCCCATGCTTCTACGTCTTATAGTTTTCAAGTAATAAGGTTTAATAGTAAATACAAAGAAGTTAAAGGGAAATAACTCATATAAGGGGTCATCAGATTCTTTCACACTTATACAGTGAAGTTAGACCTACAGATCCTTAAGACATTAGTGAAGGTTTGGTGTCTCTACGGTCTACAGTGTCGGAGTAGTAGCGATAATAAGTATTTTTGCGCAAGGGGCAATAACTTTTAAAAGGGTTAATGTTAGGGGACAAGAATGAAATCTTTGAAACAGTTTTAAGAGTACATATTATTGATGCATAGACATTAAGTATATGCTGAGAGACAAAAGAGACATAAAAACTGTTAAATTTTTCATTTTTGGAATGACCTTGACCTTTGACCTTTACATGCATTTTAAGGTCAAAGCTCAATGAATCTTATGGAGTTAGTCCTTTGTCTTTACGACTTGTCGTTTTGAAAATTTTTAATTATTTGTAAAATTCAAAAATTTCAGGAGCAATAATTCATAGAAGGGGTCTACGGATCCTTTCGCAATGAATAGATCCGAAGGTCCTCTCAAGTAGTCACAGACATTGTTAAAGGTTTCAAACCTCTGCGGTTTACGGTTTTGGAGGAGTAGCGATAACAAGCATTTCTTGCATAAGGGGCAATAACTTTTAAAAGGGTTAATGTAAGGGGACAAGAATGAAATCTTTCAAATAGTTTTAAGAGGGCATATTAATGTTGCAAAGACTTTAAGTATATGTTGAACAACAAAAGAGATATAAAAAGACCTTAATTTCTCATTTTTGGAATGACCTTGACCTTTGACCTTTGCATAAATTTTAAGGACAAAGGTCAATGAATCTTATGCAGTTGGTCCCATGTCTCTATGACTTCTCGTTTTAAAAATTTTTCATTACCGGTATTTGTAAAATTCAAAAACTTCCAGGGGCAATAACTCATAGAAGGGGTCTACGAATCCTTTCGCAATGAATAGATCCGAAGATCCTCTCAAGTAGTCGCAGACATTGGTAAAGGTTTCAAACCTCTGCGGTTTACGGTTTTGGAGGAGTAGCGATAACAAGCATTTCTTGCGTAAGGGGCAATAACTTTGAAAGGGGTTAACATTCGAATACGCAGGGTCAACTGCTGAAATCTTTTAGGGAGTACATTCTTACGAAATAAAAATCTTTTCGATAAATCTTGAAACTCAAAAACACGTTTGGCGGAAAAATAATAATAACTAGGAGACTTATTGTTCACAGAACAATAAGAGGTCTTTCCACCTTCTTTGAATTTCAAATTTTTATATCTGACTCCTTAAAATTAATTTCCATGAAAAAGACACCAGAATTGTCTTAAAGCATAGAAAAAATGAAAATAAAAAAAATGGAATGACCTTGACCTTTGATCTTGATAAAATATTCAAGGTCAAAGGTCAAGGGTCATAATGCAATTGACCCCATGCTTCTATGACTTATAGTTTTCAAGTTATAAGGTTTAATAGTAAGTACAAAGAAGTTAAAGGGCAATAACTCACAAAAGGGTCATCAGATCCTTTTGCACTTATACAGTGAAGTTAGGCCTAAAGTCCCTTAAGACATTAGTGAAGGTTTGGTGTCTCTACGGTCTACAGTTTCGGAGGAGTAGCAATAACAAGGTTTTTCACACAAGGGGATATAACTTTTAAAAAGGTTAATCTTAGGGGACAAGAATGAAATCTTTGAAATAGTTTTAAGAGTACATATTAATGATGCATAGACTTAAGTATATGTTAAAAGACAAAAGAGATATAAAAAGAGCTAAATTTTCCATTTTTGGAATGACCTTGATCTTTGACCTTTACATGAATTTGAAGGTCAAAGGTTAATGAATCTTAAGCAGTTGGTCCCAAGTCTCTACGACTTGTCGTTTTGAAAATTTTTAATTATTTGTAATATTCAAAAAGTTTCAGGGGCAATAACTCATTGAAGGGGTCACCGAATGCTTTCGCAATGAATAGATTGAAGAGTCCCCATAATTAGGCAAAGCCATTGGTGAAGGTTTCATACCTTTACGGTTTATGGTTTCAGAGGAGTAGCGATAACAAGGGTTTTTAGCACAAGGGGCAACAACTTTTAAAAGGGTCAATCTTAGGGGCCAAGATTTATATCTTCTAAAGAGTTTCAAAAGTACATATTAAAGACATAAGATAGATCGTATATGTTTAAGGACATAAGAGCTATTAAGAGAAGTTTATTTCTCATATTTGGAATGACCTTGACCTTTGACCTTGAAATGATTTTGAAGGCAAAAGGTCATTGAATGTTATGCAGTTGGTTTCATGTCTCTACGACTTGTCGTTTTGAAAATTTTTAATTTTTTGTAAAATTTAAAAACTTTCAGGGGCAGTTACTCATTGAAGGGGTCAAATAAAACTTTTGCAATGAATAGATTGAAAAGTCTACTAAATTAGTTGAAGACGTTAGTGAAGGTTCTGCATCTCTACGATTTACGGTTTCAGAGGAGTAGCGATAACAAGCTTTATGGTGAAAGGGGCAATAACTGCGTAATGGATCGAAGTATAAACATAGGGGGTCGTTTTTCGGAATAACTTTAAATATCCAGTATCATGAACTATAAAGTTTTTCGATAAGTCTTACAGTGTCAAAACATAAGGTGAGAAATAAAATAAAAAACAGAAGCATTTCAAGAGGTCTTTCCACAGAAAGGTGGAAAGACCTAACTAGGAGACTTATTGTTCACAGAACAATAAGAGGTCTTTCCACCTTCTTTGATTTTTTAAATTTTGTTTTATATCTAACTCTTTAAAATTATATTCCATGAACAAAAACAAAAACAAAAGTGGCTTAAAAGATAGAAAGAAAATATGAAAAAAAATCGGAATGACCTTGACCTTTGACCTTGAAAAAAATTCAAGGTCAAAGGTCAAGGGTCACAATGCAGTTGACCCCATACCTCTACCTCTTATAGTTCTTAAGTTATAAGGTTTAATAATAAGTACGTAGACGTTAAAGGGCGATAATTCATATAAGGGGTCATCAGATCCTTTTGCATTTATACAGAGAAGTTAGGCCTAAAGACCCTTAAGACATTAGTGAAGGTTTGGTGTCTCTACAGTCTACAGTTTCGGAGTAGTAGCGATAACAAAGTTTTTCACACAAGGGGCAATAACTTTTAAAAGGTTTAATTTTAGGGGACAAGATTGAAATCTTTGAAACAGTTTTAAGAGTTTATATTGATGATGCATAGACATTAAGTATATGCTAAAAGACAAAAGAGATACAAAAAGAGCTTAATTTCTCAATTTTGGAATGACCTTGACCTTTGACCTTTACAAAATTATAAGGTCAAAGGTCAATGAATCTTATTCAGTTGGTCCCATGTCTCTACGACTTCTTGTTTTTAAAATTTTTAATTATTTGTAAAATTCAAAAAGTTTCAGGGGCAATAACTCATTGAAGGGGTCAGCGAATGCTTTCGCAATGAATAGATTGAAAAGTTCCCTTAATTAGTCGAAGACATTGGTGAAGGTTTCATACCTCTGCGGTTTACGGTTTCTGAGAAGTAGCGATAACAAGCATTTTTTGCAAAAGGGGAAATAACTTCAAAAGGGGTCAAGGTTCCATTACGCAGGGTGAACTGCAATAATCTTTTAAGGAGTACATTCTTATGGACTATAAATCTTTTCGATACATCTTCAAACAAAAAAACATGCGGCGGAAAAATAATAAAAAAAATAAAAATAATACTAGGAGACTTATTGTTCACAGAACAATAAGAGGTCTTTCCACCTTCTTTGAATTTTAAATTTGTTTTATATCTGACTCCTAAAAAAAAACAAAACTCTCTTAAAGCATAGAAAAAATGAAAATTTAAAAAAAAAATGACCTTGACCTTTGACCTTGGAAAAATATTCAAGGCCGAAGGTTAAGGGTCACAATGCAATTGACCCCATGCTTCTATGACTTATAGTTTTGAAGTTATAAGGTTTAATAGTAAGTACAAAGAAGTTAAAGGGCAATAACTCATATAAGGGGTCATCAGATCCATTTGCCTTTATACAGTGAAGTTAGGCCTAAAGACCCTCAAGACATTAGTGAAGGTTTGGTGTCTCTACAGTCTACGGTTTCGGAGAAGTAGCGATAACAAGGTTTTTCGCACAAGGGGCAATAACTTTTAAAAGGGTTAATATTAGGGGACAAGAATGAAATCTTTGAAGCAGATTTAAGAGTACATATCAAGGATGCATAGATATTAAGTATATGTTAAAAGACAAAAGAGATATAAAAAGGGCTAAATTTCTCATTTTTGGAATGACCTTGACCTTTGACCTTTACATGAATGTTAAGGTCAAAGGTCAGTGAATCTTATGCAGTTGGTCCCATGTCTCTACAACTTGTCGTTTTGAAAATTTTTAATTATTTGTAAAATTCAAAATGTTTTAGGGGCAATAACTCATTGAAGGGGTCAGCGAATGCTTTCGCATTGAATAGATTGAAGAGTCCCCTTAATTAGTCGAAGACACTAGTGAAGGTTTCATACCTCTACGGTTTACGGTTTCAGAGGAGTAGCGATAACAAGCATTTCTTGCAAAAGGGGCAATAACTTCGAAAGGGGTCAAGGTTTATTTACGCAGGGTGAACTGCAATAATCTTTTATGGAGTACATTCTTATGGACTATAAATCTTTTCGATAAATCTTCAAACAAAAAAACATGCGGCGGAAAAATAATAAATGAGAAGAATAATAATAAACAGAACAATTTCAATAGGTCTTTCCACAGAAAGGTGGAAAGACCTAAATAATAATAAACAGAACAATTTCAATAGGTCTTTCCACAGAAAGGTGGAAAGACCTAATAAACAGAACAAGTTCAATAGGTCTTTCCACAGAAAGGTGGAAAGACCTAATTACAAAATATAATCTCTTTATATATCTTGCCTTATTTCAGTAACACTTTTGCCCACATTCCTAATTTTACATGTAAATATTTTCATCAGTGTTAGGTGATTTTGACAGTTAATCATCACTTAATTTGTTAATAGTAAAGAAAGTATTCTAGTAGATATTGATGATAATAATAAAAAAATCTCAGGAAAAAATATGATTTTTCAAACTCAAGGAATCCAAGTTAACTTGAACATTACAGAGCTATCTTTCCTATATAGTGTTAAGCTAATATTGGTATGTTACTATCTTCTGAGCAAGATTTAGATAATATTGAACATGAAGAAAAAAAACTTAATTTTGCTCTTTATTGTGTGAAGGTACTGAGAAAACTTTAATAATATCTTGTATATATTCAGAATTCCACTGACGAGGTTGAGCTGGCGGTGAATGGGAACGAGACCCAGATTTCAGAGTTCCAGTCCTCCATTGTAGAACCAAAGGTTGAATTTGACACCATCATCTTTGACTGTTCTACATGGAGTTTTATTGATGCCATGGGCGTGAAAGCCCTCACATCAGTAAGTGTTTTAAGGGACCTATTTTTTTTATTTCTTCTTTTACATATAATGCTTCAGTATAATTGGCCCATGCTTTTATTATAATGTACATAATATATATACTGTGTATATGTTTTTATTATGAATTAATTGTTCAATATTATTAATCAGACATAAGATTGATATTTTTCTACAGATAAAAAAAACATACATGTAATGTTAATGAAACAATTTTCTGTAAAAATACATAACATTTTTTATTAATTCTTCCAGGTTGTCAATGACTTTCGTGAAATTGACATTAAAATTCACTTGGCATTTTGCAAAGGTAAATTTTGTTATGCTTAAGCTAAAAAATTCAAAGATTTTAAAACTTTACTTTTCTTTGTGTACATTTCACAATTGTTTTTAGTGTTATTTTAAAGAGAAAGATTAACCCATTTAGTGTAAATGTCTCTTAGACATAATTTTTATATGAATTGACTTACATTTTGTCAGCTGGAATTCGAGAAATGCTTGAGAAGACGGGTTTCTTTAGTTGCTTAGACAGACACAACTTGTTTGTAACGGTACATGATGCTGTTCTACACGCTCTACACCAGAAAGCTAATGGAGTAAGTTATAAATAGATTAACTTGATGTTTAACTTTGACAAGATGGCTAATTATAAAAAACGGAGTGGAAAAAATGTAACTTAAACGTTATCATGCAATGTTGAAGGGTAAGGACAATAGTTTGCAATTTTCTATGTAGGATTAAATATCCCAGTATGTAATGGAGCTAAATAGGTACACCTTTGCTGTAATTAGTTGTTTAATTGTTGTAAATGATTTATCAGGATGTTGACTCGGACTCACCACAAGATGGCGCTCCAGACTCCGTAGCTGTGCAGTCCACTAGCAGTGGGAGTGAAACCGATGATAAATCGTGAGGTTTACAATGTTTCTATATGTAATTGACACAAATTCTGGTCAAGAGATCAACCCTGTTCAATCTCAGGCATTATCAAACTAACAGCATTCCACCCAGCCTTTGTGTGTATGTCACATGCACAAACTGAATCAGCTGGTCTAGGATGATTATAGGAGTATTTCACACCGTTAACGTTAGTATATTCAGCAATGTAGGATGTAAAGCTAAAAATTTATATAATGCTGGGATCTCCCCATTTTATATTCAACATGTGTAATGTGTGCCATTTTGATATTCAACTGTGTCAAAATCGGTTTTTCATTAATGATTTGATGTTGGGTTTTAGGAATGGTTTCATTTTTTCTTCAGTTCAATTCCTTTTATTTTAGCACTTTTCATTTCCTTTTGTATAGTAGTTAGACTACAAGTATGTGCTGTGAACTGAGAATGAAGTCATTTCACTCAGATTTGTGAACTGAAACTTCTCACTTGGTAAAGTTCTTTTTTTAGTACATCACAGATTATTATTTGAATCTTGTTGTCATAATCTAATAATCTCCATGTTAGGGTGAGCCATCAGAAGAAAGGTGAATTTGCAATTGTTATGAATGTTTAATAAACATGTTTCTGTTTTGTTAGAACTTGTACAGGTTTTCTTGTATGCAGTGATGTAACTGTTAAATATTTTCAAATGACAATGATGCATTTTTTTGTGAAAATCAATGTTCTTTTTCTATAGATTTTTTCCCTCTATATATGCAGTATTTTTTACAGTTTTATGTTTGAAATATGCATGTGTCTGTGATCATTGTATTTAAGGTTTTATGAGTTCCTAAGTGCACACAGTGGATGAGCTCAAACATCGTATTGTTCTTCATGAAATAGTACTACATGTATGTACCACATATCCATAAGTCTGTGTAATTAATGATTGCTCACCACTCCATTATACAGTAAAACTCGGTTGTAACGAAGTCATGGGGACCTATGAATTTACTTCGCTATATCCGAAATTCGTTATATCCAAATAAGAAATATGTTCAATTTATATAGCTGGGGATCCAAAACAGTGAATTTTGCTATATCCATGTTCGTTTGCTGTACACCCTTTACTTTGAAAATATTGGCAGTGTTTTATCACTTTATTATTAAACTCATAAGGAATCAGTATGAAAATGTAATAACCTGTGAGAAATATATATATTTAGACAAAAACCAAGGATTAAAAAAAATCCAGGCTCTAATACTATTTGAATATTTCCTCTCAATTGCCAGTAAACATACCTTCTTACGCAATGTTTTATTTTCCTTTTTTGTCTTTCAACAAATTTGATGCTTTAGAGAGTAATTGACTGGGTGCAGTGACATAAAAGTTATCTCTGATTCCTAAGTTTTTACATCACACACTACTCTAAAATTTCAAGAATATTTTATAGAGAAAGCAGAAGTCAAGCAAGTATGGTAATGGAGGAAATGAATTCCATAACTCCTGCTTTTATTTTCTCAAGTTAGAAAAATTCTGTACATTGTAACTTGCAAAGGTTTTAGAGCATGTCTTTATTGTGTGTATTGTTTGTAGGTTTAGTGAACTTGGTACATTTTTAAGCAACATTTTTTTTCTTTATTGTACATGAATATGGATTTAAATTGAGCTCTGAGAAATTTGTGATTTTTCATGACACAATTGTAGAGGGTGTTAAAAATTTAATTTTTAATGAGTAATATTTATGTACAATGTTAAGTTTAGTTATTCTGAGTAGAACTTACTGCTTTGTTTTTTTTCCATTCCAGTTTGAAATATTTGCAAGGTGGATATTATTATTGTTGTGTTTTTAAGAGGTATTTTAACCACATTATGTAAAACCATTATCCTCTGTATACATGAATTTATTTTTTCAAAATAAAGGTTGTCATCACATGGATCTTGTCTTTGTAAGATAGGTATTCAATGCAAAGATATAAAAAAAATAGACAGACAGAAATGTACTCTAACAATATCATGGAAATCCTCAGTAGAAATGTGCATATATGTGTATTACAGCATTTGAATCAAAAGTTTCATTATCATTGTAAAAATGTTTAAAAAAGCTTAGGTTTCCAATGACATTTCAATAAACAATGCTGTAGATATAAAAAAAAACCAAAACAAGTATTTCTAAAACACTAGCCATTTCCTATCCCCCCATCCCCCATGAGTTGTTTTTTTAAATAAGCACAGCTTTTCTGAACATCTGGTATCCGATGCTTGGCTGTCTAACTGACGGTTAACGTTTCACATTTTCAGCTTCTCAATAACCACGGGGCCAATTTAATTAAAGTTAAAAATTTTGGCTCTAGATAGAATTTCTCAAAGCATATAATTTGTTGTTTTGTTATTTCCCAAATTTTTCAAAACAAAGACGGAGACTGAAGCGTATTTGATGAAGAATATAAGATATCATCTTGAGATAAATGGAGATAATAGACTGTATTCAAGATCAAAGGTCCATTAAATAATACAAATTTTGGAACAGAGCAAAGACAGACCTTTAAAACACCAGGTGTAGGATCAGGTGCCCTGGAGGAGTGAGCATCCCCTGCAAACTGGTCATACCCGCCATTTGCTCCTTGTCATGATCGGAAATTAACGGGAAAAAAAGTACTGTTTGTATGTGAAAGGATTGAGGTGGGTGCTTTTTCTACTCTGACCAATACTCATTTCTTTAAGCACTGAAAAATCTTTCAGGTCATGGTTCAGTTCGGAATGACATACACTATTACTTACAACAGCAGACTTTCTAGTCTGATTTGTACTTCTTCCTCCTTATCACCTTATCCCACCTCTGGAAATATCCGCCTTCGTATTTCGTGTACTGTTCATAGATTTGCATTGTTTGTGTATTGTTTTAGATTGAACACTGTTATTTATATATTTTTCATTTCTCGGTTTCAGACAATCTTCTACATAAATCAATCATCATACATGTATATGATTAATCTCTTTAAGGTGCAAAGGTTTTTGTTAAGGCATATTTTTTATGTCTATGTAGCACTTTTAATTTATAAACATTTCGTTTTCCCTTAATAATTTCCCTTTAAACATTTTTAGCTCACCTGAGCCGAAGGCTCAAGTGAGCTTTTCTGATCACATTTTGTCCGTTTTCTGTCCGTCTGTCTAGCTGTCCGTCTGTCTAGCTGCCCGTCCGTCCGTCTGTAAACTTTTCACATTTTCAACTACTTCTCAAGAACCACGGGGTCAAAAGTTATTTAACTGACTGGCAGGTAACTTCTGGATTTTTATGATAAAAAACTTGGGTCTGTGATGAAATATTGGTTTGTCTGATAACCACAAAGAAACATTTTTTGTAAAGCCTTGGAAAATTCATGCTAAATTCAGTGTTTTATCTGGTGCAGAAGATTTGGGAAAAAAACAACATGAATCTTCTTGCCTGGAGCACAGGGCATCTTGTCTGCTCTTTTCTCTATTACATGTACACAATCATAATAAAATTGAAAGTAGCAGACAAAACTTTTTTCAACTGTGTTGTTTTTTGACCTAGTTTACAAACTGTGTCCTATCTTTGATTCTATTTTATGTGTAAAAGATAATGAATAAGACAAGATTACCCAGTCCCATATGGACTGAGGTCACGATGTGTGGTCCAAAGGTCCAAGAAGAACATATTTAATTAATTCTGGTGCTTTTCTTGAATAATTGATATTTATTTTACATTTCATTACTGCTTAAGACTGTAATCTCTTTGACCCAATAAAATTTTTACCTTTGGAAAAATAATGCCCATAACACATTTTTGTTGCAGTTTCTTAGTAACTACGCATTTTAGATGTTCTAAATTTTGCACACTGTTTCGGCATGTCAAATGGTGGTTTGATACAGTTTACTTCAAATTGCTTGATTATATCCCCACAAACCAAGTTTGGGGGGTACAAGTTATCTTGGATTCCCAGCTATATAAATTTAATGAATTCCTTTTACGGATATATATAGGATCTCCCATGGTTTGTAGTTTTTTTTATCCAACGAATTGTACATTTGTTATCCCCGAGCCTTTGAGAGGGGATAAAAACACAAAAAAGAGTTGGATAAATGTCATATCCAACGATAAATCACGGGAAATTCTTTTTATCCCATTTATAGGTATTTGTGAATTTTATGGTCCCAGGGTTAGGGGTTCTGGTGTTAGGGTGGGGCTCTATTGGTTATATAGAGAAAATGCAGAAATTGTTTGAAAATCTTCTTTTCTGCTGCTGGGTATTAAATAAACTAACGTAGTATATAGTTATGATGAGCATGAATGAATCTTCCAAAATTGTGAATTTTTATGGCCCCAGGGTCAGGGGTTCTGGTTTTAGGGTGGGGCTCTATTGATTACTATGTAGTGAAAATACATTATTTCTTTAAAAATATTTTTCTCTGTTCCTGGGTATTAAATAAACTAACTAAGTACATAGTCATGATGAGGAAGAATGCTATTGTGAATTTTATGACCCCAGGGTCAGGGGTTCTGTTGTTAGGGCGGGGCTCTATTGGTTATATAGAGAAAGTGCAGAAATTGTTCAAAAATCTTCTTCTCTGCTCCTGGGTATTAAGCAGATGAACTACCTATATAGCTATGATGAGCAAGGGCCATTCTTCCTGAATTGTGAATTTCAACGCCCCTGGGTAAGGGGTACCATGGGGGGGGGGCTCTTCTTATATACTGAAAATGAATTAATTGATTGAAATCTTCTCCTTTGTATTAATCAAATTTTTTTGATAAGCAAGTTAGGATGCCTTTTCCAAAATTTTGAAATGTGTGGACCAAGGGTCAGGGGTTCATGTGTGGAAGTGGCCCTAGACTGATTATTGCTGAATATTACTGAATAGTCGAAATGCATTTTTTTGTTCCCCTACTCTGTCTATGGGTGTTAAGTAACCAAACTAAACATGCTAAGTGTATAGTTATGATTAGCAATGGTGCCGCTTTCAAAATTGTGAATGCCATGATGTCTAGTTTAAACAGTGTTAAAACATGAATCAAAGTCAATCGTTGTAAAGTTGTTGCATGATGCTCAGGTGACCTAATAGGCCCATGGGCCTCTTGTTAATACTTCACAACTAATGTTTTACTCTGTTTATATGTAGGACTCCACTTTATTTTACTTCATCACGCTTACACAAAAACAATTGTGACGTCAAAACTACACTCACCTGTGGGGTAAAAACATCCAATGAGTCATATCCACGGGATAAAGAGGTAAACATGGGATAAAAATAATTATGGATATAGCGCAGTAATTTCATAAGTCCCAGTGACTTTGTTATAACTGAGTTTTACTGTGTATAGGAATCGCTCTGTCTGTCCATCTGTGCAAATGTGTCCCGTCCATATCTTTCTTACAAAGGAACATTAGAATCTACTATTTTGTACAAAGATTGTTTAGGACCTGAGGATGTGTCATGTTCTTAACCCAAGGTCATTTGGCCAAGTTCAACGTCATTGATTTGAAACAAAAAACTTAAATTCCTGTCTCGTCCATATCTTTCTTACTGATAAGCATGGTGAGTTCCCACTTCATTCAAAGAATGCTTATGACCTGAGAGTGTGGAATGATCTTAACGCAAGGTCATTTGGGCAAGTCCAAGGTCACTGACAGAAAAACATCATAATTTGTGTCAGGTTTGTATCTTTCTTAGGGAGAATATTGCTTGGAGTTTCCATTTCTCACCAAGATTGTTTATGACCTGAGTGTGTGTCGTGATCTTGACCTTTAGTCACTGTAGAAGAAATAAATAAATAATTCATCCATACTTTTGAATAGAGAAATACTTGAAGAAATGGTATTTTTTCAATGCTATAACCATGTTATTATTAGTTTGATGTTATATAAGGCTGACAGCTGCATCTAAGTTTCATTCATTAAAAAATATAGTGAGGAATTATGGGTAAATTTTCACTCAAAATATTTATTAAACAAATTGTGAACACCTCTTATATCCATCAAATACTATTATTAGTGATTTGGCATCTTCTCTGAAAAACCCAGCTATTTGTCCATTTTGGACAGTTCTAGTTTTCTTT